CTGTGCCTTGGGGTCACTAGAACTACCCCTTCCCCAGCCACGATTCCCCCTGGGCACCCACCATGGCTCCCCAGTGCTCTCAGAGCCTCACTCATGGCCTGAGAGGCGCTCCTCAGTCGCACGGGCCTCCTTCATCCCCCGCCTCCCTCAGCCACCACCAGGATGTGTGCATCCTCCTTTGAGAACTCGCCGTTGGCCCATACCCCAGGCTTCTGTGCGTGTGACCTCCTCCCTCTGGCAAACTCCTACGCGTCCTTCAAGGTTCAACCCCCGTCTCCTCTGGGGAGCTTCATTTCTCCTCCCTTCCCTGGAAGATCTTTCTCCCCTAGGCTCCTCTGCACACCTCTACGTCACAGACCTTATCACTCTAGGTAGCGACAATCTGGTTTCATGTCCCATGCCCCACGCTCCACGTCCACCCCACCCAGTCCATCCTGAGCACCCAGCAGGCATGGCAAAGCGTCCCAGAGTTCCCCACTTCTGTCTCAGGGCTGGGTGTCCCACCCTCCTCAGGGCCTCTGTTTAGAGAGGGTGGACAGGGAACAGATTAAATTTGACCCTCAGGGAGGGTGTCATACAGCACTAGGAGCTGGGTCAGTGAGTCAGTGCATCTCCTCAGGGGATCTCGCTTTCCTTTCCGTGAAATGGGATAGTAGTTTCTGCTCTGTCCCCTGGCCAGAGGATGAGAAATAATAATATTATTAATAAAAACATCACACCGATGCCAGTAGCAGTCATAGCAAGCATCTGTGCAGCGTGTACTGTGTGCCAGACACAGTGCAAAGGATTCTGTAGTCAGACTCTCTCCTCTGGTTCCCAGCAACCTTATGAAGAAGGTCCTGGGATTCCAATCACCCTTGCACTGCCCTGGCACACAGTGGGTGCCCCACAGACATTTGCAAAATGAACAAGTGGACGAATGCCTTCTTTTACAGAGGGGGAAATGGAAGCTTGGACAATGGGGATAATTTGTCCACAGTCCGGTAGAACGGGGACTCAAACTCAACTCTGATTCCCAAAGGTGAACCCTCTATGGCCTCGTAACCTGGGACATGAGGGGCTGGGGCAACCTGGTCTCCCCCAGCTAACTGCCTTCCTTTCTCAAGCAGATCCTTGAAGGCAGGCAGGGCCCAGAGCGGGCCCTGCCTGGGAGAGCGCAGGGAGAGATGGAGAGACAGGTTCTGGAGGAACCAGGAGAGGGACAGCGATCACTGAGACCCACACCCAGAACAGGTTGATCTGGGAAGGCCACTGAGGGAGGATGGGTTGTGCCCAGCTGATGCCAAGAGCAGTGGGCAGGACCAGTGGGCAGGCAGGGTGTCCCCCAGGAAGGCCAGGTCCTCAATTAACCCCGGTCTTCCCTATGGCCAAACCCTGGCTCCCAGCTCCCGTATGGGGCCCTGACTGAGCCTGCCGAGGTCCTCCAACCCTGGGGACCCACCCGCATCCTTCCCTTCCGAGTGGCCCGACTTCTTCACACATTTGGGCCTTTGGGAGGGAGTGGGAGAAGGGTTTGCACCTGGGCCCGTGCCGCAGGCGATCTCGGACAAGCCATTTCTCTTCTGCAGGGCTCGCCTGCCTCCTGGGCAAAAAGGGGCAATAAGTCACAGTTGTCAGCGCTGTCCGGGGCCGTGGAAGCGAAAGAGGGGGCTCCCGGAGCTCCCCGCGCCGCACGCAACACCGGCAGGGCCGACGCGGGGTTCATGTCCGGGCCGGGGGGAGTCCTCGCGGACGCGTGATGTGTGTAAAGGGGAGGATGGCGTTCAAGGCAAGGCCCGCACTGGAGACCCCAGCCCGCCCGCAGACCCCGCCCCGCTCACCTGGGGCCCGGAGGCCGGGGGCCCGGC